GCCTAAGTTACTTTGAAATAGTTGTCTTGTAAAAAAGACCACCTTCTGATTTAGGAGCTTAAACCCATGCTCACTCAGGTGATCTAGGAGCTTAAACCCACCTTCTTATTTTACTTTTGATATTAAGAGACGGCTTGTTTTTGTAAATCGATAAATGTCTGAATTTGTTTAAATTATCAGTTTTACCCAATAAAAGTTACAATGTTGAATTTATAGATCAATTTATACAATTTCACATATTTATTTATCATCATTACAAAATTTACATCTAAATTATATAATTAACATCCATTTAAACGAAAATATGTCATTAACAGTGTTAACACATTTAAATCCTATTAAAATATATCAATTGAGAGAGGTGAGGATTGATTTGGTAAGGATCAATTGAGAGAAATGATGGGTTAAGGTAAATCGATTGATAAATGTCGTTGTTGAGAATTTGAAGAACAATTAGAGGCAAATACGAGGTTGGTTTATCTCTTATCAGAAAAGAGGAAAATAAGACACAAGTGCCTTTGAAAAATTGAAAAAAAACAAACAGTCCGAATAGGTCTACCTCTTGTCGAATCAGACATAATAGGCTGATAAGAGTTTTTTTCCTAAAAAAACAAATAACTCCTCAACTTCTGTAAAAAAAAAAAACCATCTTCTAGATAACGAAGTCGTTACTTTTTTTCCCCTTTTAAGGTGGCATGCTTCTTTTGGAGCTTAATCGTTTGCTTACCCGGGGAGGTTATTTTGTTAGCGAGCAACTCTAGTTTAACAAAATCATGAAGAGGATGTGCAAATGTGGGAAGGTATCTTCAATTGGTAATGTATTGAAGTAACTAAAACAGCTAGAATCTTACACTCAGAGATGCCTGCACTAACTGTCGCAATGTGCTGGGAGCTTCTCACTATCATGAAGGATAAACACAATTCAGTTGGAGTCGCAATCTACTGCAAACCAGAATCAAATGAATGCTACAATGGAAGAAAGAAAGAACCAACAATGTGTAAACCAGATGATCCAAATGTTGCATGGTACGTAGTACGGGATAGGAAGACATTTATCTTTGCAGAGGAATATTGTGTTAATAGGATTGATGGGCAGGGGTCTGGTTGGAGTTTTATTATGCTATTAGGTGTAGCCTTGGTGATTGGTTGATCGTCCTATACAAAAAGATAACCAAATCATTTTATTTTTTGTTTACCAAAAAACAGATTACAAATATGAACCCTAATTACATATCAGATCTAGTTAGCGTTTATATTTATGCAAAAATTACAAAAGAAACCCTGAAGAATAGATGAATTGCTCTGGTACCCTTCATGAATCCACAAAAGTGAGACGTGGTCCTTCAACTCTCAATTATTGACAGAATAGGTCCTTATTAAAAATAAACCTGTCAGAAAAAGAACAAAAGTTAAGATTGTCAAATATACAATATATTTTAACACTACTGTCTCGTAATTGGTATTGGATTGAGAATAACAGAAGTGCAAGATGTAGTTGTTGTATTTTTGTTGATCTTGCATGGCAATGATCATAGTTTGTTGATGGGCATGGATCCGTTCCATTGTCAAAAAAAAAAAGCCTAGTTCATCGCCTTATTATATTCGAGGCTTTTGAGACCAGTTTTCTCTTGGTTGGGCTTATAGTTATATTACTAAAATGGGAGTATAGAGATAGGTTTGATGATAAAAATATGGGCTTATTAATGCATTTTAGTTTGAATAAAAGACGTTTCACTTTTTTACATAACAAACTACTGTATTTGTTTGTAGGTCATTAATTAATGATAACTGTTTTTGAGATTAGAAAACTTAGGATCATGAATTTGAAATACAAAATTTTGTAATCGCTTCATTTATATAACAAGATAATGAATGGTTTTACCTTGTGTTTTGAATTACCGCATGGGAAAAAAAAAAGAATTGTAATGTTTTTAAATGCATATTTTTTAATTAATTAAAAGGAAAAAACTTGTAATTCTATTTTATTCAAAGATAAAGTTTATATTTTTTCTGTAGAGCTTGTCATCGTGTTATCACGGGCAGAAAATTAGTATAATATATACCTTTCTCTCTCTCTCTCTATATATATATAAGGGCTTATCGTTTAACTGCTATATATATTTTAATAATCGTGAGAACTTTTATCTTAACATATTGTTTTACATGATTTTTTTTCTTATCTAAGACTAACATTTAATATATTAATGAACATATATTTGTTTCACAATGTGTTTGCTCCATATGTATGCGGTTCACAATGTGAAATTTTTTCACTTGTAACTTTTGTTTCACAAACAAGTTAAAAAGATTCACATTGTGAAACAAGTATATTTGAAAAAAAAAACACATTGTGAAATAAATATATGTCAATCGATATTCTAAATCCTAGTTTTCGATGAGAAAAAATCATATGAAATATTACATAAAGTATTAATTTTCAACGTTATCATAATTTCTTGGGTTCTCAAATATATATAACCGGTCAACTTTCCATTTTTCTTTATGACATTTGTTTGTATTCAATAGAATCAAATCCAACTTTCTTCTATTAAAATGAATCCGATGCACGCACTTTGCCCAACCTTTATCGTTAAAAACCCACTCATTCACCTACCATTTCCATCATCATCGTCTCGGATTTTGGTCAATTTATATATTATTTATCATAATAAAAAATATTTTATGAACTTTTTACAATAATAATCTATATACTTTTTTTTATTAACCTGGATATCCAACTCGCTATGCGAACCAACTAATCTCAGAACGACCACATGCTTTGCAGATGGCCTGAAGTCACCGTATTTGAATCTCTATGGCCACAAAAGAATTCTTATTCCCCCTTGAATTTGAATCTGAGACCTCCTAGTATTTTTGAACTTTGAAGTCAAGCTAAAACCAATAAGACACCACCCATGTGGTTAATTTGTATACTTTTATGTTACATCGTATTTTGTTTATATGTTAAATCCGTATCTGGTCACATTATGTTTTTAAGAGATGAAGCAAAGTTGCAAACAAAGACACACTGACAATTTTTTTACTTCATTTTATTAAAAACGTTTCAAATATTCGATCATTAATAAAAAAAATTACTTGTTCAAGAAGACTGTTTTCGTCGGTATTAATGGAAACTTTTGGAAGAAAATTCCAAGTTTATGATAGTCAAATGATGGAGGCCAAAGGTTCTAGAAATTGACTTTTGATTAGGTTTTGGTCCACGTTGATACAAGAATCAATTATTGTAAAAGAAAAACATGTCAACGATGATTAAAATATATTTAACTCCATTTATTGCCAAGATGTTAAAAATAATATTTCTCCATCCCAAAATAATTGATTTTTATGTATGAATTATAACAGATATTGTCGATTTTTTCGGTCAATAATAATTTATAGAATAATTTAAAATAAGAATAGTAATTTATCTTGATTGGTAATTTAAAGGGGTCTTTTATGTTGAAAACTAGTTGGTAAGATCTTTATATTTTGGTTCAAAATACTAATTCTCTTATTATAAAAATCATAATTATTAATAATATTATTTAAAAATAAATAAATAACATGATAAAAAGATTGGTGATAAAAAAGGATATAATATAGCACGTGCATACCAGTCAAACAATTAAACATCTTTGACAATACCCATCTTTGTTTTTAAAATTAAATATTTTTATTTTTTTCAAAGTGTTAGAAGTTGAAAACCGGTATATTTATTTAGAATTATATATATATATATATATGGACAGTTGAGAGTGGATTGTATTGGTTGTACAAATATAAAAGATTGTATAATAACTCACCCCTTTCTCTCTCTCTCTCTCTCTATATATATATAAGGGCAAGTTATGATTAACGTACAAAATTATACATTGATCCGGCGTTACTTTGCCAGCGGCTTAAGTCGCGACAAAAGTCGTCCACTTCCATTTTTTGACGTTAATGTAAAATCATATGCGATTTTGTATATTAACAATTTTTTTTTTTTGTTTTCTTAAATAATTAGTGTTCTCGTTTGAACTTTCCTATATATGTATGTGTGTGTGTTTGTGCGCGCGCTAAGAATCGTGTAAGAAACAAAGTTAAGGTGAAAAAAGTAAGAAATAATTTGGACCCTGATCACCTTTAATCTTAAACTCTCTCATGAATCGCGTTTAATACGAGAATTAATCCGATGCATCTCATCTTGGTGTATTTAAAGTTGGAGATCCTTTCTTACGCTTCACACTTTAACTATGTTTCTCGCTGGAACCCACCATATATATATATATATATATATATATTTATAGGCCTAATCAAATGAGAACTAATTAGTTTGTGGTAACCGTGAGGTTCAATCTCAACCACAAATCAATACATAAATTAGGAAATTTATAATTTTGGTAATTTTGAATTAAAATTTTAATTCAGGGATATTTTAGGTATTCTAAAACTCTCCTCTCTTCTCTCTCCGTCACCCGTCCTTCGTCCTCCTACCACCGTCCTCCGGTGATACTACAATGATATCACAATGCATCATATATGTGCTTGGGTATCACACTGAGGTCATTTGTGTGGTCGATCGGAGATGTAACATAGTGGTACCTCAATTGGTACTACATTGGGTATCACATCATGTATCACAATGATTACTTGGTACTGGTAGGAATAATGTTCATCGGAGGTTGGAGATCCGAGGTTGGAGATCAGAGGTCGGAGAGAGGTAAGAGGTGAGAGGAGTTTTTAGAAATACCTAAAATGCCATCTAATTATAATTTTAACTCAAATTACCAAAATTACTAATTTCCTAATTTATCCGTTGATATGTGGTTGAGATTAGATCTCACACTCACAGTTACCACAAACTAATAAGTTCTCCCTTGAATGGACCCATATATATATATTATATATATATAAATTTATATGGGGGATAATTACGAAGAATGCCCTTCCATGTGGACTTTGTTCCTATATATACACCTCTTGTTCAATAGTATTCCACTCAAATCACATAGATCAAAATGAAAACGCCAAATACAAAAAATCAACTGCTGGGAATCATTTGTGTTTTTGCTATCTTCGTCATCTCCAATGGCAGAAGCAGAACCATGAACTCAAATAATCAGAAGATCAGAGCCGTTAATCTTGGAGGTTGGCTCGTCACTGAAGGCTGGATGAAACCTTCTCTCTTTGATTCCATCCCAAACAAAGATTTCTTGGTTTGTTTTCGATACATTTAATGTTACGTGTTTTTCCAAGAAACCGAAAACAGTTTTCAATTCTGATTCTTGTTTTTTAATGTACATGAAAACAAACAAACACAACACTTCAATTTATATGCCAGTTCATGCTAATTATTATGAAATCATCCAGGATGGAGCTGGACTTCAGTTTAAATCGGCAACGATCGGGAAATTCCTTTGTGCCGAGCTCGGTGGAGGAACAATCATCGTTGCAAATCGTACATCTGCTTCCGGCTGGGAAACTTTTCGGGTAATTACATTGCCAATAAATTAATTAGTGACGAAAAGGGTGTTGCGAAAAAAAAAAGATTTTCATGATTAATTATTGCAAATTATATTAATTTGTCAACTCAATTTTAAGTTGTGAATATGGTTTTCGGGGTTAATTAAATAGTCGAATGGCATTTTTCATGTAGTTGTGGAGGATCGACGAGACCAATTTTCACTTACGGGTGTTCAATAAAGAGTTTTTAGGACTTGACTCCAACGGGATCAATTTGGTTGCGGTTTCGACTAATTCTGAAACCTCTGGTATCTTTGAGATCATAAAAAAATCCGATGATTCAAGTCATGTTCGGATTAAAGCACCAAACGGGTTGTTCTTGCAGGTTCTTTTGCACCCTCCAATTCGTATTATGATTGTTATTTCTTGGTTTTTAACGTTAATTTATAGTTTTCATTCCGTTACATATATATAGGCAAAAACCGAGGATTCGGTTACAGCCGATTCAAACGGGGACGGGCAGTGGCGAGACGACGATCCTTCGGTTTTTGAGATGACCAAAGTCGAAACGATGCGAGGAGAGTACCAAGTGACAAATGGTTACGGTCCAACAAAAGCACCAAAAATCATGAAAGTAAGATTTATTTCATTTTTGTTTTTTATTTTAATAAACCATTTAATTGTGAAAATAAGTCATCAATTGCTGCCCTACAAGTCAAATATACAAGTCAATGTCATTTCCATAAATGTCGAAAGCAAAGGCTTTGACTTTTCAATCTCATTTGAGTCAAAGGTTAAATTTGGAGGTTGACTGCTTAAACCAGTCAAACCAAGTCTACATCAGATTGTTTTTGGCTATTTAAACCGTGTCTGATTCGATTTGAGAAATAGTCAAACTGTTCGGTCTGGTCTATGGTTTAAACATTTTTTTGAGCGGTTTGAATCGAACCGACCCCTGTTTGCTAATTATTTTTTCGGTTCTTTTTTTTATTAACCTGGATATCTAACCCACTATGCGAGCCGACTAATCCCAGGACGACCACATGCTTTACAGATAGTCTGGAGTCACCGCATTTGAACCTCCATAACCACAAAAAGATTTTTATTTCTCCTTGAATTTGAACCTGATACCTGCTTGGTTTTTTTTTTTCAGGATCATTGGGACACATTCATAGTGGAAGCAGATTTCAAGTTCATTGCAACCAGCGGATTAAACGCTGTGAGAATTCCAGTAGGATGGTGGACTGCTAGTGATCCGACACCACCTAAGCCTTACGTAGGAGGATCTTTGCATGCCCTTGACAATGCCTTCTTATGGGCAAAGTATGTCTACTTTCGTTTGTTTCATGTGTATTTAAAGCTAAAAAGTACCAGAAGGACCCAGGTTCAAATCTAAAGAGGAATAAAATTTTTCTTGTGGTCACGGAGGTTTAAATACGGTGACTCCGGGCTATCTGCAGAGCAGGTGGTCGCCCTGGGATTAGTCGGCTCGCATAGCGGGTTAGATATCCAGTTTAATAAAAAAAAAATTATACCAGTCACATTTTATAGTCCATCATTTTTGTGCACAGGAAATACAATCTCAAGGTGATATTGGATTTACATGCCGCTCCCGGGTCGCAAAATGGTTACGAGCATAGCTCCGGTAGGGATGGTTTCATCGAATGGGGCTTAACCGATGAAACAATACGACAAACTGTTGACGTCATAGAGTTCTTTACTGCTAGGTACAAGTTATGTCGACACTAATATGCTAATCGAAACAAAGTGAGCGTTACTTGTCTGTGATCTTAATTAAGCTATGCATTTCTATATACAGGTATGCGAAAAATCCAAGCTTGTACGCAGTCGAGCTCATAAACGAGCCTCGTGCACCAGGAGTCCCGCTAAGTGTATTGACCAAGTATTACGAGGCTGGATACAAAGTTGTACGAAAGCATGCTCCAAATGCCTTTGTGGTTCTATCGAACCGACTTAGTGGTGAGCCAAAAGAGCTCTTTCCCGTTGCCAGTGGCATGAAGCACGTTGTCGTTGATGTTCATTACTACAATCTCTTTTCGGATATCTTCAACGACATGACTGTAGAACAAAACATCGATTTCATCCAAACGAATCGTTCTGCAGAGCTACAAGCCATCACGACAGCAAACGGACCGCGGATCTTTGTTGGTACGTATCGTCAGCCTCATGGTACATTCCAACTTGATAAAACAATGGTCTAACTTGTGATTTTGTAGGGGAATGGGTGGCTGAATGGCAAGTTAGAGGAGCTACTAAACAGGACTTCCAACGATTCTCGGAAGCTCAACTAGAGGTGTGGGGACGTGCGAGCTTCGGGTGGGCTTATTGGTCGCTAAAGAATGTGAACAATCACTGGAGTATGGATTGGATGATCAAAAATGGTTATATTAACCTCTAGAAATGTACAAAACCGTCCTTTATCAACCAAAATGTATTTGTTTAATTCGAATATACATACGGTATAAGTGTATGTATTTATCTTATGAGTGAAAACAAAACCCCGACATACATAATTTTTTTTATTAATCAGGATATCCAACCCGTTATGCGAGCCGACTAATTCTAGGACGACCACCTGCTTTGCAGATAGTCCAGAGTCACTGCATTGAACCTTCATGGCCATAAGAAAATTTTTATTTCTCCTTAGATTTAAACGTAGTTAACTTTTTGATTCAGACTTGGTGACATAGTTTTCAAATGTCTTTTTAAGCATGGTATTAGAAAAGCAATTAAAAATGTAAAACGAGTAAAGATACTTGTAAGTGGAGAAGAGCCAAATAAGTGAATAACGAGTAATAAGAATGGTAGTGTAGGGTGGGCATTTTTGGACCTATTTGTCACTATTAAATAATTGACACCCATCTTGAACTAATTAAAAAAAAACCGAAACTTTTGTCTTTTACTTTGTTTTTTTTTCTTAATTGGAGGGGTCCCCCTATATATATATATATATATATATATATATATATATATATATAT